ACACTCCCCCGATGGGATGGTTCAGCCATCCACTCGGGAAATCTGCAACAAGAGGTCGGAACTTCACATCGACTGCCCCCAACATTGCTTGATGATAGAGGATCCCAAGTGATCATGAAGCCCACTGAGCTGACAGTTGCAACATACAATGTCAACACTCTTGACTCAAAGAAAGGAGGCATGACTATTGGATTCCTACGTGAGCAAGTATTGTGGCATGACATTGATGTGATGTTCTTGCAGGAAAGCCGTACAAAGACAACACAACTGGCCCAGTCTGACACACATTACCGAGCCACTGCGGCGGCTGACCAGGGACAAGGTGGGGTTGAGACTTGGCTGCTTCGTTCGCGGAGACGATCAGGAGAGCAACTCTTCGATCGACGTTCGATCCATGCTCTTGTTGCTGAACCAGAGCTCCTCCTTCTGAAGGCAAGTTACAGAGGAACCAGTGTGCTTTTGATCAATGGACATGCTCCACACACAGGAGCAGAGCCTACGAGGATAAAAGCTTTCTGGCAACGACTTGGTGACCTGATCGAGAAGTACAGACACACGGTACAATACTACATCATGGGTGTTGACGCCAATGCTCACTTCTGTGACGCCTCCTTGCCTTATGTAGGATGCGAGGGAGTGGAGGAGTCCCAGAATCTGGCCGGGAGATGCTTCCTTCGATTACTTGCTCGAATTGATTGCTATCTTCCGAGTACATTTGAGGGAGTACATCAAGGGGAATCATGGACCTGGATCAGCCACGCTAATGGGGCTCAGGCAAGATGCGACTATCTGATGATTCCGCGAGAGCCACAACCGGTGAAAGTTGAGACATGGGTCATTGATTCCCTTGATACAGGACTTCGAGCTACGGATCACCGACCCCTGATGATGAAGATACTATTGCCCAAGATCCGCTGCGTCTACAAAAGACCAAGATGCAGCTTTGACCGGAGGTCTTTGCAAAAAGCTACTACTGCTGAAATTGATGAGGCCTTACGGGACATTCCGGGTCATTCTTGGGAGGAGGACATTGAAAAACATGCCACGACGCTCTCTGAGCAAGTGACCAAAAGCCTGGCCAAAGCCTTCCCAGCTGGTAAACGTGGGCCCAGGAAAAGCTATATCAGTGATGAAACGTGGACACTGCGTACTGCACGCATGCAAACCAGGTCAACGCTGCAGCAGGTACGTGATTGTATTGCCGCCCTGACAGTCCGTAAAATACTGCATGTGTGGTGCTACAAGGAGGTCTTGCTTCCTTCACAGCTTTTTATGGAAGGTATCCGGCATTTGGCAAAGGCCACATCGTTGCAAGCAAAGAGCCACCAAGAGGCAAAAGACTTCAAACGGGCCCTGCGAGCTGATAGGACCGCCTGGTTGGAGAAGATCGCAAAAGATGCACCGCAGATGTCGCAAAGTGACTTCTACCAGGCTATGCGCAACTCTGGAGTGAGGAGTAGGAAGAAACCAGGCCCTTTCCAGCCGTTGCCTATTGTGGAAGACGAATTGGGTGAACCAATTTTCGAGACCGACAAGCTCGCAGAGCGATGGAGAACATTCTTTGCTCAGCAGGAAGATGGGATTGATCAGACACCAACTCAGCTTATGGCACTATGTGATTCTTTGGCACGAATCCCGAAGCTGAGACCAGAATGGGATGATCTACCCAGTTTTTGGCAGATTGAACATCAATTTCGCTCCACAAAGGTCGCTTTCGGAAAGAACTTGTCCAGGAGTTCAAGACCGTGAGGCTCCCAATGCAGATTGGGGGAATTCCAGGTTTCTCTATAACCCAAGCTGCCCATGTCATCCGATTATACCATCAGATTGCGGCAAAGCGAGCACGAAGTTAGGGAGTACTTTTCATCGATGTCAGTAATGCATTCTACCGCCTCCTCCGACGACGCATGGTAGCTGCAGAACTTGACACTAGGACGGTTCCAGAGCTCTTCCAAAGTCTTGGACTGCCGCCAGCTGCGTATGATGAGTTTGAAGAGATGATGAACCCAGGACCTGCGATCCAGAACTCCGACGCGCCGGCCTTTGTCAAAGCGATGTTCCAGTCATTTTACGAAGCCACATGGTTCAGAGTCAATGGTTCAACAACATTGACTCAGAGTCGACGAGGCTCGCGCCCTGGCGATACGTTCGCTGATTTGACCTTTGGCTTTGCGCTTAACAGAATCCTCCGACCTGTCTTCACTACCATTGAGACGGATTACCCAGAGGTGACGGTCGAGTGGAAACTAGCCCTTATGCACATGAAAGCAAGTCTGAACGGATGGGTCTACTTGCACCGATCTGGGCGGATGATGTTGCAATTTCGTTCAGTGCTGCGACGGCTGAGTCCCTTGTTACAATGGCTGGCCGTATTGCGGGGCTTGTTTTTGACCGATTAGCAGTGGCTGGCCTCATGCCGAATCTCTCAAAGGGCAAGTCAGACATCATCCTTGACTGTAGAGGAAGTGGATCCACGGTGCAACGCAAGGCGATAGCCCACAAGGACTATGCGATCTCCACCACATCAAGCTATGTGGAGGGACCACTTCGTGTTGTGGGCACATATAAACACCTGGGTTCCTGGCTTGAAGTCAAATGTGGGATGCGAAAAGAGCTCCGAACCAAATTTGCTGCTGCGCACAACATTATGACACAGTACCGGTCACAGATTTTCTGCAACCGGGCTATGACAGTCGAGAGGAAACGCCAGTTCTTCGAGTCGCTGGTGTTGTCAACCATCGTTTTCAATTGTGCTATATGGCAACCGCCAACCAAAAGACAAATGCAGCAACTCGATGCAGGGTTTGCACGCTTGTTCAAGCGCCTGGCTGTGATGCACTATGGGAAAAAAGCGATTGAATGGCCTCTCGACCGCATTATCCACGATTTCCAGCTTCTGCCAGCATGTGAGACTTTACGGGTTGCAAGATTGCGATACCTGTGCCACCTGATCCAGCATGGTGAGGACCATACTTGGTCCCTCATCAACACGGAACACAGCTGGTGGACACTAGTTGAAGAAGATCTGGCATGGATGCAGATGTATTGCCCAGAGTTCGAACTTCCTGATTTTAGATCAGAATGGTCCGATTTCTGTGAATGCCTGCAAACTGCAGGGAAGCGATGGAAAGCAGCAATCCGCAGAGCCATTGCGAGAAGCAAAGCCTTTGCCTTGAGAAGATTTGAATGGTATGGATGGCACAGCGTGATCTATCAGGACATCCTGCAAGCTGGCCTGATCACTGGCCAGGAAGTTGTTTCTACTGCTGAAGACCATTACTGTTTGGCCTGCCGCCGAACCTTCTCAGGAGCAGCTGCATGCGCAGTACACGCCTTTAAAAAGCACGACCGTGCTACCCCAGCACGAGATTTCGTAATTGGCACCACATGTGAAGCATGTTTAAAAGTGTTTTCACGGCATACTGGGCTTCTCAATCACGTTAACCGAGGTCATGATTGTTTGGCCTTTTATACTGCCCGTGGAGCTTTTGTGACTCGGCAACCTGGCGTGAATAGTGCCGCAGAGAACGCCAGTTGCCCAGAGCTGCCAGACCCTTGTATGCAAGCCGAAGGACCCAGAATCCCTGATGGGCCAATTGCAGTCATTGTGACACAGATCCAACAGTGGCAAGATGAATTGCTTGAAAAGTGGCAGGCTGCTTTTTCGAGTTATCGAGGGACGGGCGCCCTTGTGGAACGTTTGAGGCAGGCCACTCTGAGCACATGTCTCTACCACAAAGAGATCCTGGCCCTTTTCGCTGAATGGAGCCAACGATGTATAACTGAAGAAGAAGATGCGACACTCCACGATCTTATGGTTTTTCGTGTTTTCACTTCCTCGGCTAGCAGTGAATGGTTCCTGACAGGTCTCAAGTCTTGCACGCGCAAGGAAGACACAGCGATGGTGTTTTTCCAACGACAATCCGATAAATTAGATGAAATTCGATATGATGTCCCAGCCCGCATGGCCTATCGTCCTAAGGTCATGGCGCATCTCTTTTCAGGCACACGAAGGCCTTTTGACATCCAACACGTCATGGAAGAGCATGCATGGATGGCATTGTCCATTGACATCATTTTCGATCGTGAATGGGGAGACCTCAACAACCCCACTACATTCCACTTTTTTACTGAGGCACTGCGCATTGGAATCCTGAGAGCTTGGGTGGCGGGACCACCCTGTGAAACGTGGTCCCGTGCACGTGAGAACCACGTGCAGGGCGGACCCCGCCCAGTGAGACGCCGAGGGTTCCCATATGGTTTGCGCAACCTCACGTACAAGGAACACAGACAAGTGACAGTTGGTAGTATGCTGTTGGGCATTTCGTTCCGGTTGATGCTCCTTTCTCTGCTATCTGGTGCAACAGGTGTGCTGGAGCACCCAGCTGATGTGGATACTCACCAGAATAGCCCAAGCATCTGGCGACTTGAGATTACTCGGTATCTATGCCGCTTTCGCAACTGTCAGAAAGTTACCATTATGCAAGGGCACTACGGTGGGAAGGCTTGCAAGCCCACCAGCCTCCTGATTGCAAATGGTGCGACCGACAATGACGCTTTGTTACATTCGCTGCGGACAACTGCACTTCCGAAGTATGCAGCCATCGGACGGCATGAAGATGGCAGCTGGCGCACTTCTGAGCTTAAGCAGTACCCAGCTGACTTTTGCAAAGCCATTTGTCGTGTGATCCTGGAAGGCCAAAAAGGCCACGGTGATGCCCCATGCCAAGAAATTCCGAAGGAATTTCTCCAGGCAGTAAGTGAGCTGACGCGGAGTTTTGATGAGACCGCGTCAAAGGGGCCCGATTTCCATGGATGAATTTTAATTAGGTGCACGCCACCAGTCGCGGGCAAGAGCCTATGGCGCGAAGAAAGAGGAAAAAAAAGAGGGAGAGCGGTCGTGCAGGTGGTTTTTTGGGAGCGTGTGGTTCGGTCGAAGCTTTCGAGACGCCAGACGCGTTCGGCGTACCTTTCGGGGCGTCGTCGACTCGGGTGTTGAGGAGCTGGTTCTTTGCCAGAACACCTTGAGGGAAGTGGCCTTTGAGCAGAAGCTGCACCCAGCTTTCATGATGGGCCACATTTGGGGCCCTCAGGGTTGGGTGCAGGGCAGCTTGGCCGTGCAGAAATCCCCGAAGCTCAAGTCCTTACACATGGAACTACAAGAGACTCTCCCCAAGGTGCGGAGGACTGGACGGGGTGGTCTGTGAAACGCGAATCAGAGGGTTGGACTATGCTTCGAGGTTCAGGGTTTGATTCACCAGTTCTGGGTGAGACATGGTGAAACCAGTGATGAAACCGGCCAGTTAGGACGGCGCTCGTCTCATTGCTTGGTGAATAGGCTTCCGTCGTCCACTCCGGGGCTCCGGCGTCGACCTCTTTTGACACCTTGAGGATGCACTTGTTCCGTTCGTAGCGAACCTTGTTACTACTAGTAAGGCACTTGTTACTAGTAGCGATGCACTTGTTACTACGAGATACCTTTGGCGCTCCGAGTCCGCACCGGCCGAACAGCCGCACCGCCGCCTTTTTCAGGCGTTTCGGAGCATTCACAGCTCCCGCTGGCGGCGGCTTCTGTCCACCACACTGTCGTCCCACCCTGTGGGCGAGCTGTGGCAGTGGAACTTGCATATCACCTCGGCCAAGCGGGCGAAGATTATTGCCGATTGCATTCTAGGTACCTGGGAAAAACCGATCGGTGGGATTGGGTGGGGGGCCTCGTTTTGGTGGTTTGATGTGGGTCGGGAAGTGGGCCACTTCTGTGCTTCTGGACTTCCCAGCGACGGGGTGTGAGATGTTTGTGTTTGGTATGATTTGGTCCGCGCTGGGCGTAACGCGAAGGCGCGGAAGAATTGGAGCCGGATTTTTGGTGGGATTCCTTGGGCGGGTTGGAGGATGATCCACTAAGTCACTATGTCAATCCTTATAACTTATATGTATATATATATATATTTATATTTATAGACAGATAAAACTGATAAAACCAAGACCATCTTGATCGAGAAGGCTCCACTTGGGGACCGCCATCTGGCCGCGAAGGAAGTATGGCAGCAAACTCCCAAGTTGAGATGTCCCCAACGTCTCGAGCACTTCAAGCAGCTTGATCAGGCCTTTCCCTGGAAAGCCATGGATCAAGACTCAAGAACGAGGTTCTTTTGGAGCCAGCATGAAAGAACCATCATCCAGCGCAGTTGGACTCGTCAAACACCGAAATACACCGAACACCGAGGACTCGTCTTCGAAATCCGGCACCGTCGACGGTGACCACGGGGACAGGGGGTCAACCGCACAGCGGTTTCGGTTTCTGGCGATCTGACGGGGGATGGGAGGGGCAAGCTGTCAACTAGATGTCTAGACTCTTGATTTATCATATGACACCCCTGAGATTACACACCTGTGTCATCCTGTACGCCCATTTTCCACTTCCATGTTAGTGACTCAGAGTGTAACTCGAACTGGACACGGAAGACTCTACTGAATCTCCACCCAAATGAGCATACAGTAGACTGTCTCAAGAGGCTCCGACTGTGTCGTTGGGTTACCTAGACTTCCGACTGCTTCCCACTGCGCGAACGCTGGCTCGGTCGTGCACCGCCGTCGCCGCCACTTCACCGCCACACGAGCGCGCCACACGAGCTCGCCTTTGTGGCGCTGAGGCTCGCTCGCCTTCGTGGCGCTGTTCTTTTCCGTGGATGGCTCGGCAGTGGCCGCGCGCAAGGCTTCGGACTGTCCGGTGCAGCAAGGCGGGGGCGGGGAGGCTGACGGCGGGTTCCGGGAGGTCCAATTGGACTGAGGGCGGGTGTTCTTCTTGTGTTGGCTTGAACTGTTCGTTTTTTCTCTCTGGGTGGTGATCTAAAGGGGCGATTCACGAGAAAACGGAGCTTGCGGAGCTTGGCACGGTGCATGGCACGGTGGTGTTCAAAGGGGCTAAGTGATGGGTTCAACTTGAGGCAGAGTAGAGTGGAAGAGTGGAACATGGATTGAGAGTTCACTCATGTTCTTACCAACGAACGAGTCAAACAAAAAGTGTACCTCTCGATCTCGTTCTGCCCGGAAGATCAGTTCGTGGAGCCTGCCAGGTACTTTTCTGTGGTATGCCTTCGTGGCCATAGCTTCCATTTGCTTGAACTTGATCCCTCGAAGTTTGATCACATATTTTGCATACCGCGGCTTCGTGCAACACCGTCCGTCGCTGCGGAACTGGCAGCTGCGCGTGCGGCGCTGCAAAGACGTTGGATTCTGGGTATTGGGAGCCTCTTGGTGAAAGTCGGAAAGGTCAGGGTTCCTGCTTTCCTTTCAGCATGAATCAGGTTAAACCTGGCCCGCCCTGGAAAGGGAGATTTGGGGTAGACCCTGGCGGCCCTTACTCTTCGCTGGCTTCATTTCACCGTACCTGGCTGGAAACTGCAGGAACTTGGTCCCTTTGCGTGAAAATCATGAAGTCATGGAGTCCATAGTAGTCCATTGGTCCGGTTCAGGTGGCGATCTCCAGTCTCCAATTGCTGCTCATCATGGCATTTCTGGCCAATCTCCGCGAAGCGGACGAATGGAAATGGATGATTTCATTTTTGGTGGTCCTAGCGCGCAAGATGCTCATCGTCCCATTGCTTGCGTGCATGTTTTCAAGCATTGGGACAGAGCTGGCAGCTTTGACTCAGCCCTCCTTCGCATCAAAGCCTCCGAAGCAGATGCTCAGCTTTGCCATCACTACCCTTGGAGCTTTTTTTTTTTGGGGGGGTTTGTGGGTCTAAAACATATTGTAACTATATAACATATATAAAACATATCATAAGTAGTGATTGCTTCACCCAGCTTTCTAATGGAGCTTAGTGGACTCAGCTTTATCAGAAAATCCTTGCCAGTGTGATTGCTGGAGACCGCATTCCTCGTAGCTTTCTTAGTGACGTGGTGACTCGAGTGATGCTTGGTCTGCCCTGACACGTGCCAGTTCAATAACATCCTAGTTCCAGCGAGTTCCACCACTCTCCTTTCGAAGTCCATTGGAGGGGAAACGGATTCAGCTCCTCGAAAACGGCTTCAGCTCCTTAGATGAATCGATACAGAGCCCCAATGGCGCCCCCGAGGTTTGGTCTTGATATGGATCTGGCATCTCATGAGGCTACGATGCCACAGTCGACCTCAGCTTCAGCCGTTTGGATGAAGAAGGTGGAGGAGTTGGCGAATCGAGGCATCACCATTCGTCAGCTGGTGGGTTTTTATGCTGATCTCATTGAGGCGACGGGGCGCAGGAAAACGGCAGGGTGGGGCAGCCAATGGGTGTGAAGATGTGCGATTGTTATAAGCCTTTGCGCATTTCTTCACTACTGAGTCAAGGCATTGGTAGATACATCCCCTAGTGCAGATCATTCGAAATGTAAAGTGCATTCTGAGGAGCCTTGTCTCCCACTGCTGGAAGAGACAGAGTGGCCCCTTCATTCTCCCATTTTTCATTTGTGCGTGTGAGGTGGGCAAAAGGCATGGATTGCTCAGGATTTTCCCACAGTCTTTCCTGAGGTTTTTCCAAACCAAGCAGTGCTTTGATCTCTGCCCGTCTCAGGGGACTTTGATGCCTCACTTTGACCCGGACCGCTCGACCACTCATGATGTGGTACGCCAAGCGATCATTCCTTCTTCCTTGAAGCTCAGGACTGGAGTAGTTTGAAAAGGGTTGAGTTGGCAGTGTTTAGGGAACTCCCTGTAGCTGCGAACGGCTCCGCGCTTGAAGCGGGATACTGGATACCGCTTGCTAGCTAGGCTAGCTGATGGTTTGGAGCACGCAACCAGGAGCAACCAGGAGTTCCGTAGCACCCGGGGCGGGCTCCGCCTCGAGAGAAGCCCTGCTATCAGGCGATGCCAGTGGAAGAGTCTGTCATGCCGGAAAATGCCAAAAGGGCAGTAGCTGCTCCAAGACCACTACAATCATTACAAGAAAGGTTCACCGGATTTGGCAGCCTGCTTCAAGATGGGCAGCTGGGTTTCCCCAGAGTGTTTCTTTGTTCTTATTGGTTGCGAGGGTAAACTTCATATCAACCTTTCCCTCACCGCCTCCCCCACACATACCCACACACACACACACAACAGAGAGAGAGAGAGAGAGAGAGCGAGAGAGAGAGAGAGAGAGACACTTTTAGATTGAACACCCGTGCCTCGACGAAACCTTGGCAAAAGAAACCAAAGACTCCAAAGACACCAGGTATAGCGCAGCGGTGTATGACCATTAGACCCTGGACATTTCCCACAAGTCTCAACATCAAACGCTTCTCCAAGTTATGTCATGTAAACCGGTTGAAACCTTGGAGAGCACGTTTGCGGACCTTGTTCATCATGCAGTCTGAATACCTTCTCCTCGGATGCATATTTGGGTTGCAACAATCACAACTTCTGGTGGTATGCCGAGTTGATCAAGCTGTGTCAAGCTCTGCATCCCATGATTCTGGCAGCTTTCTTGAGTGCGGTTGCACAAGCATGTCGAACCCTCCTGCAAGAATAGAAGAAACAAAACCAAAGACAGATCCGAACTTCACGGGACGCACTTTACACAAAGACAGAAACTCAACGGTCAACGTTAACGTTGCCAAAAACGCTTGCACACTGCAAGTTTCAGCAGTGACAACCCGTGAATTTACAACTAAAGTTGCGTCCTTTGACTCCAAGGTGCCCGCACACACACACACACGGTCTGGTACACATGGGCGCCCCCTCCCCTGCCTCAAGACTCCACACTTTTCAGACATCTATCTATCAGTGTTGGCTGTGTTCTTGTGGGATTTTGATGAGTTCTTGTATGACCCATAGAGGGCAGTTTGTGATATAGAATGTCTTGATGGGAAGGTGCTCCAGGACTTCCTGGAAGAATTGAATTGCCCCAAACAGGCCAGGTGTGCATAAGAGCTTTTGTTGGATTTTTCTTGGGGGTGTATATATGTATATAACCTTTGGCGATCTTTGGAATGCAAAATTCGTAGATCTATATACTATATAACAGCAACATAAGGCACTCTCACGGGCATTTCTTGAATCCGGCCAACGTGTGGATCTTTAAGTGGGTTATACATAATATGAACGTGTAACGTGTACATATGCATGTATTCACACACACACATATATATATATATATCATTATCTTATATTATGGCACGGGGTGCCACTTGCAGCCCACCACCTGCTGCACAGCGGCAGGACATCCCGATCCTTCATGGTCGTCATCCACAATGCGGCCAAGCTTGCTGCAAGGGACATCTTTAGCTCTGATCCCTATTGCGTGGCTCGGCAGGTTTTTGGAACTCCGGGCTTCAAGAACCATGTGGAGACCGGCTCTTGGCTTGTCAATTGGTGGGAGGTGTAGTTTCTCCCCTTACTCAAGTCAGTTTTTCCGATAGTAGTCTTCTGGTTGAGTTCTCCTTAAGGACTTGTGAAAGCTCACGAATTCATCCAAGACCTGTACGCTCGCCGCTCAGGTGGTGAATGTGTCGAGGAGCAGCGAATCCAAGCGGAAGTGGCAGCCCTGGAAGGGCATGGGGCGAACCAGGACGATAAAGGGAAATTGCAATCCCAGCTGGAATGAGGCAGGGGCTAACTGTTCTGCTTTTCTGCATGCCTGCGCATGATTTGCTTGCTGCCAGTCCGAGCTTTGTTATTTATATATTAATGTATATTAATGTCAGGTTGCGCTGAACTGTTTCACAGGATATCACTTGTGAGGTTTCTGAGGCCAATCGATCAATTCGCTAGCGCAGAGGCAAGGAGTAGGAAATAACAATTTCCTCGACTATGGGCTTCTTGGCAGCCTGGCAAGGCATTCTTGATGCAATATGTCTTGGAAGAGGATGCCATTCACTTCAGCGTGTGGGACGAAGATGCACTGAGCAAGGACAGGCATAGTGAAACAAACAAAAGAAAGGCAAAGGTGCTGCACTTGGCAAGAAATATAGCGGTGCCGAGCGGATCTTAGGGTACAGTACAGAATTTCGATGCTGATACTGATTCTCATGGAGGAGGCCATTTTTCTGGATTCAAGCAACGTTTGATCGCTGATTTTCAGGGAACGTCCTTTTGCATCAAGAGCCCGAGTCCCCTCAGGATGATGCCCTGGGGGAAGTGCTGCTGCCGAGTCCGGCCACTTGACTGAGCAACGTGTGCCTCTGGGACCGAGGCCACAACAGATACCCTGTCCCATCCTGTCCCAAAGTGTTTTTGGATCCTGTTCCAACATCTTGGGGAATGGGACCGGGCCCTGATCAGGGGGTCATGAACGACCGCGAATGGAACATCCCCACTGGGTCTCCACAATGTTGGCTTTTGAGAGGCACCAGGACACAAGAGGCAAGTCAACTTGATATGCACGAAGCCTCAGGCCTTTTGGTGTGGCTTTGAAGGAGACCTGAGGCTACAAGGAGTCAATGATGCTTCGTTGCGAGTCTCCATAAGACCGTATGACTGTAATGCTGATGGGGTGGCTGCCCTGGACAACTTTCGGGAGAAGGTGTCGGAGCGCAAGCCGTCGAAAAGGGTGTTACACATAAGAGATGCGGAGGCCTCAGAGGCCCTTCCCAGCAACGGGGCAGACTCACTAGGCCGGACGGGCGGGCAGCTGTGGCTAGTGCCTTTTTTGTGACACCCTGCTGTATGTACACTCGTTCGAACACATTGGACACAGCCTCGCGCGTTTTGTAACACGCGCGTCAAAACCGGACGCTTTCGCGGCAGATTTGTCGGAGAAGCTGGTGGTGATTCCCTCTCCCAGACTCTGGCCTTTGGAAGCCTCTCGAGGGGCCTTTGAGGAGAAAGCGCCCACCGTCTCAGGTTCGGTGACGGTTCGGCTGTTGGTGGGGACGCGTCGGTCACGTTGGGAGCGCTCGGACTGAACGGATCAGTGGGGGCGCTCGGACGCAACGTGTAGAAACCAGGAGGGTTTTTTGAAGCGAGGACGGTGAACATCCGGTTGTGCAGAATGAGAACTGAGTGATACTGAGTGGCAAGGGCGAGCCAACGGCCCGGAACAGGGGGATCTTTCCATTTGGGGGACGAATGGCAAGCAAACAGCGGTGGTTGCTTCGCATGAGCCAGGAGGAGAGAGTCAAAGTACGTGAATCGATGGACATGCAACCCAGGGACCCAGGGATGGAACCTCTTTGTGCTGGGAGTCTAAGACCATGGGTTCTTTTCGGTGAAGTCTGAGGTGAAGTCGGTTTCCTTTCACTTCGGTGGTTTTCCTTTCAAGTCGTTGGACTTTGTGTCGTTCCCCGGGACTTCGGAACGAACGTTTTTGACTTCGGCCATCAGTTTGTGACATCGCAGATGCCATCTAGCCGCTCTAGCCAAAGCCGAACACGCAAGTGGATGGCATCTGAGGTTTTCAAACATTTACACACCATTTGCTTCTTCGAATGCATGGATAACATGAAGCCTCCATCGCATCCCCACCGTGTTGTTTGGATGCGAAGGGGCATCGAATCGCGTGTCGCAGCAGCGTGTGGATTGCTGCTCGACGCGACGCGACGACAGCCGCTGCAAAGCGCACTGCCCAGCTCCACGTCGTTGTGAGGCCTTTCGTATGCTTCTTGCGTGAACATGGGTCGTCCTTGTCCAGCAGAGAAGATGGTGACGCACAGCTGGGGCAACAAGTTCAGCCGCTTGGTATTGAATATATAACGCTGTACAGACTGGCTCGCCTGAGGCAGATAATGATTGCTCTCCTGAGGGTTTTGAGGTATATATGGCTGTCGAACATGCAAACAGTAGGAATGGGTGCGTTTGAGTGGAGCTTGAGAACGTTGTCGAAGCCCTGGACTTCCCAAGACCACGACCTGGTGAAAAACTACGTGGGACGTGGGACTAACGTGGCAACACCGTCAACACCAGACTACAACATACTACAACACCTTCATGTCAGTCATGGTGAGGTTCTTAGTTTAGCCTCGTGCCGTATGGGTTTGTATTCTAACAGCAAGACCCTGTGGCCCAAATGGGTTTTGGTCAATTTCTTCCCGGGGTCTTTGGGAGGCCCCCTATTGCAATACACCCCACATCAGGCGCAAACGCAGTGTTTTGTTAGGCAGTGACAAGTGACTGCTGAAAGGATCACTCCCCCCGGGCTCTGAAGTCAAAAAGCAGACGGACAGTTTTAAATAGCAGTTTTCACACACATGCACACACACATACACACATCACACATCACACAATATATATAAATATATATACATACACATATATATTTTTAACATCATATATGTATATATATATTTATAACTACATGCCACATACATGTACATGTGTTCATTGGGCCAGAGTGGTTCACCCACGCTGGGTTCCGACTCAGGTGTTTTTCTCCGGTCGGGTCGTCACGGGGCTCGTCACGTGGAGCCTGGTCAAGAGGTTTCATGGCTGACATGGTTGGTGCCATGGACTCATCCCCGATCCCACTTGATCAGTCAGCTCCCAGCCTAGCTATGCTTAGCCCCCAAGAATAGGGAAGGGAGGGTCTGTGGGGTCTCTGATGTTAGCATCAAACAGCTCGCAAGGCTATTTGATTGGTGCCATTCTCGGTGATGCTTTGCAAGCTGAACGCTATGATGGCGTAGTGGAGCTACTGAAAAAGCACCAATTTCAGGAGTTGTGTGAGGCAAGGCACTCATGGATCTTAACTCGCCTACGATTCCATGATCTTCCAATGCTTGTAACCAGGGCCCAGACGGGGGATCTGCACTGTTTCCTCTCTGACCACCGCCCAGAGCGAAGCTCGCGGAAGCCTTCCAGGCGCTGACGCGCAACGAGAGCTTGGATACTCCTTACTGGGTGTGCGCCTTTTCAGTGAACCAGCATCGCGGCATCTGTGCGACTCCACCGGTCGTCGACTCCATGGGCTATCGCATCGTGCCGTGCGACTGCGCCACGGAGAAGCATTTCAACGGAGACCTGAGTGACGCGGAGCTGCGTGAGAGACGAGGGAAAATCAAAACGTCCAGATGAAATTTAAGCCCTCAACACTAGACTAGAATGGTGATAGTGAGGGCTGCCAATCCTGCAACAGAAAGATCAACAGCTTTCAGCCGGGCCTAGCTTGCACCTGAACCACAAATGTGCGACTCGAATAAGGAAATGAACAAGTTTGATGACATGATGGCATATCTAAAACGTCACTTGCGCCGCATGAGCACCACTGCAGCTTGGCTGGATGTTTGCTGTCATGCTGTCACTCTTCATTCTCATCATTCTCCACTTTTCAGAACCCACCAGCATCCCAGAACCCAACAACCAGGTTTTTTCCTTGCTGCAGCGCCACCATCAGGGGGGTCACATAAATGCATATTTGGGGGTGGTCGGGTAGTCCTCCACAATTACACATTCCTCGTTGCTGGGTCTTCATTCCCCAGCAATGATTGTTATAAGGTTCTTATACATGTATACATGTTTTTGCTTGGGGGATCATGTGATGATTATGGATGTCCCCGGCTCTCTTTCATACATTTTCTTGAAAACCGTATGCCGTATGCGCCACCTCAGGGCGTTTTTTCCTTGCTCCCCTCCCTTGCTTTCACACATTTTTTCGGGCAATCCAGCTTTCAGGTTGGTTTTGTGAGAATATATACCCATGATAGGCCCCCATAGTTTCCTCATGGCCGTCATGACCCCATACAAATTTCCACTATATAGACCCCCCAATAGATAGAAGTTCGTAGATCACCACTCAAAATGTATTGAACTCCCTGTATATATACAATTATATATCTTTATATCTATTTGGACCACTATAGTGCTGCTGGAGTTAGGCCGGCATTTCAGATCCTCCGAGCTCAAAACAGGCGGGGCCACAGGTTCTTTTAATGGCTGGAACCTGGGTAAGAAGCAAGCGACTCAACGGAACAAGATCGCACTTTTTCGGGTTTTATTCATAATATCTATTGATATCATTTTTTTTTTGGCTATATCCCCCGCATGATGGGGTTGCTTGGAATTGTATGTGGCAAAAAACGCACACTAAACCTTCCAAATCCCAGTTCCCCCACAATCTTCGCAAGTTTGTGCCGTGATTGTGTCAATGGGACATTGCACCCCATGCACTTGGCCTTGAACCTTGGCCAGCGTTAACCCCTTTGCTAAACACATGTTGTTTACTTGTGACCCTGTCCCTCCTTATGTTCATACAACCTCCAAGAATGTCCAAGAGAAGCACACGCACAGAACAAATAAACACATATTTGTGCGTCGATCCGTGTATGCCCACCCCTATGCATACAATCAGGGTCTTGATGTCCCCGATGAATCCACCTCCCCTCCTTTGTAGAATACGCCACCCGGTGATCCTTCCACCCTGGAGCCCGAGGTACGCCTGGAGCAGGTGGTGGCCATGGAGCCCGACTTTGCGTTGCTCAAGCGCGTGTGGTGCATCGCAGAGCTGGTGGAGGCCAATGAGTTGCATCTGAACCAGGCCACTCGCATCTCGCTCGCGGTGCGCCGTTGCGCGGTGCGCCGAACGTGCTACGCGCTGCGTCTGAGCTCGGACCCGAACTCCGCCGCTGTCAGACCATCATGATCCACTCGGCAGCCTCTCGGAATGAGTGCTTGCATCGGTTGTTCTCCTTGGATGTTCGAATGGCGGAAGCCAGTTACCCAGCGGACAAGGCGCGCTGAGTTCGGGGGATGAGAATGATGAGATCAGAGTGAGAGCCGAACTTGGATCCTAACAGTGGAGCCACTGTCTACTCCACTGAGAAGCTGGTGGGAGAGTTTATATAGGAATGAAGGCTTGCGCATTCGGGATGGGACATTTGCCGGCCCTGGCATTTCCACTCAATTGGGCCATGAATGGACAGCCTTCCAGCGGACCCTCATTTAAATGCTATTTTTTGGGGGGAAGGGGCAGGCAATTAGAAGAGCCCCTGTACCTGACCGACTTTGAAACCGGTCAGTTGTCTTCCAAAAGTTTCATTCCTCAGTCTCACTCTCGCTGTTTTGTTGCCAGCCCACTTCGCAAGTTTCGCCTGACCGTGTCAGGACCTCATTCTGGCCAAGATTGTGGACGTGGATCGTTTCAACAATCAGCTCCAGGAGTCTCAGATATGTTTGTTTGATCGAAATGGGATCACTTCCTTCTAGGTCGGCTCCCGTCCGTTCCAAGCCATGCACCTTCTGGTCGGTCGTGGGAGTCAAGACGGACCGTGGCTGTGGGTCAGTCGAGCCCGTCGACCGAGTCCACCAAGTCTGAGTCGCCGCGAAGAGGCTGGGGGGTCGTCACGGGGCCGACTGATCGATCAGTCGGTCCGGCCACTTTGACCATCCAAGGATTTGGTCCTCCATCGATTGGACACTTTCCTTGAGGGCGGCCATTCAAGAGTGGCCGCCAGGATTTTGGATGAGGTAGTGCTGGCTGTGGCTACGGTGGCCTTTTGATCCGGCCTGTGCCTGGCACTTCCGTTTTCCATGTGATCTCAACATGTCTTATTCAAGGTGAGATCGCTACTTGAATTCAGGAGGCCCCCATTGCGCCCATTTCCCATAGCTCTTTAAAAGACGCTATAGGCCACAAGCACAGGCAAGTCTGTTTGCAAAAGGCAGCTCCGACATTCAGCATTGCTGGGGAGGTCCGAGTGTGCCAAGGTCATTTTTGCCGAATTGTTCATGAGTCTGCCATCATTCTTGATGGCCATGGCTGAACAGGTTCAACTGAATGACGTTCCTTGCAACAACATCAAGCCCCAAGCGAGTTATCAATGATTTATATAATATGAGTTATATATGATGATTTGTACTTGAGCATGGGCGGAGGTCATGCGAACGGACCGGCGTTCAGTGGTTTCATAAAAACAAAACGGGCCCGGGACACTGTCCGATCTTGCTGGTTGAAGTCAGATCTGTTACACCCTGGAAAATTAACACGGAACTTGAACACCACTGGGTTGTAGAGGAAAATAGTCTTCCAAAGGTCTATTTTCAGGTTCCATGTTAATCTTCCCGGGTGTATCCCTATACGGCAAACGTCTCGTGCTTCCAACCTTGCAGTGCTGGGAGTTGTGAGGGGCTACGCTGGTCTCGACCGCCAGCATTTCTGGATTAGAAGGGAGAGGGCCTCCATTTGCAACGGCGCCCCATGCCCGTTTCAGGGCCACACTAAGAGAATACTACACAGCCACTAACTAATAGCCATTTTCACAGTGGTTTCTTCTTTGGACAGATCGGATCCTTCGCCGCCATGGCGTGACCACTGGATGAATCCAGGCCGGGCACGTCGCGGGGTCCTCCCGGCGCACCCGGGCGCGGCGGTACGACACCGCGACGGTCCTCGCGTCGTGACGCCGAGCGCGCTGCGACTGCGAGGTGCGAAGCTGAAGCACTGCGCGGTCCACGTCTCTCGGACCTGCAACGACTGCTTCGGTCCGACTGCTTCGGTCCGGTCGAGCGGAAGACATGAGCATGTACTAATCGAGGCACTCTCGGTGCCGCGACACTTCCGACGACCCCAAAACCACGGTTTCAGATCCGTTTGGGAGTTCCACATCCAAGTTGTCCATCCCGTAGCAGCCAATCACTCATGGAGACTTAGCTTCGCTGCCGGAATTGCTGCCGGAGTGGGGGTTCCGGAGTGGCGAGGGTCGGTGGCTCCGATTGGGTGGCCCCCCCCGGAATCGTGGCGCTGCGACGGGCGGGTGCCACTCGGTTCGAGAAGATGAGGGAATGAACCCCTGCGGATGTTTTTGGATACTAAGCCATACTCATTCCACACTCATTCCTTGCGTTCGTCGAACCAGTTACACGATTGGTTGATGAATGGAGGGGATGACCCGGTCATTTGGTGTAGAACGTATATGGTACCTGGCACCGACTATTTTTCCCAAAAGGGCATCATTGATGGACTGCCTCTTGGCTGTGAGGTGCTGCCTCTATGCCTCTCGCTACTGCTAGGCCAGGCACTGATGTCGGTTCTCACCCGGAGCAGGTTTCTCAAGGGATGCGCGCCCTAAAGGACTGGCCAACAGCTCCAAGTGCACACCTACCAAGCACCGGAGGTTTGATCGATGTGGTCCTTTCTGCTGGTGTCGGAGGGTCCCTTCTTCCTTCAAGATAAGACGCCACATCTTGCGCAACGTAGCATTCCTCCTGTGATGGTCCAATGTGGTGAAATCGAATCGGACTGACTGTGCCCTGAGTCGTATTCAACACTAGAACCACGGGGGGTGCTGGCTACTCCGCGCCTGCAGGTGCTAGAGGTGACTTGGCCGTGGTGCGCACCTTTGCAAGTAATAAGGAGGCACGGCAGACGGCAGATGGGCTTGGGCCACTAAGGTGCTGGATGAACTTTCAACAGCAAATGGTCCAGGATCTCCTTCTCCACGTAAAGAGGAGCCATATCAATCTCAGTGGTTGAAGCTCAAATGGCAGGTGAAACGGACCACCTGCGTGAATTGGCCATCCATTCGCCCTTGATCACTGAACTTTCCAGGGCCAAGCAAGAAGGGTGCAAGTGCGTTCGGGGGATTCCTGTGGCTGTAATTTGGCCACCAAGACACCCACACACAGAACATCACAGAACATTTACGGAAAGAGTCGATGCCCGGACTGGAACAGGCAGTGCATGCAGCATAGATTTGGAGAACCCCAGTTTGTGCTTCATCGTCCTTCTACATGTTTTTCACCAAATCTGCGGGTGGGGGTTGGGCACAGCCAAATGGGCTGGCGGTTCAGCGGCCAGAGGGGACCCCACGAAAAACGGTCAGGTGGATGGGCTTCAAGCTGCATTTCAGCCGCCTTCGCCGCACTCAAAGGGGGTGGGAGGAGGGTGGAGATCGAGGGGTCCCACGACATACAATCCGCCTGGAAAACGGTACATACTTCGTTCCAGGGCCATTCGTATCACAGTTGGGCGAGTTGCTTTTGAGTTTAGTTTCAAGCAAAGCACCCAACCAATTCAGCGCGATGAATCTTTGCGACCATGTTTGAGCAAACATTGACCCCCTCAAGATCAAGCTCTGAACTTCGTCACGTAGAGGCGTAGCAGTGCTGAGCATGGTTGGCTGCTCTGTGGGTCTTAAATTTGTAGCCTTTGGACATCTTTGGGAGGTAGATCATTTCCAGGCATTTCCAGGATATCGTCCTTCACATCCACCGTGAGGCTTTGGGAAGAGCTGATGCCCTGCACCGAGCCGCGCGTAAGTGTGGACCTGATTTTGGTGTACAGCCAGAGCTTCGAGAACCAGAATGCTTTGTGACATGGCAACAAAGCCCGCCGTTTGGACCACTCCGTTCATGAGGTGACAAGGATAACGGGTTCTACAAGCCAGATTGTCCGAAGACGAACTTGACGGGTGGTGGGACATGAAGCTTTGTAGTGAGGAGGCCCGCTTTGATTTTTGGGGCATGGAGGCCAATAATCTGGGAATGACGTGATGGCTGAAGGGGCTTCTTCACAGAGACAACTCATGGATTTTGGGGATGTTTTGGGTATTTGGGTAGTTTTGGACCAAGCGCAGTTCTGCTAGGCCTGGTCGGGGGCCACAAGACTGTGCAATCAAGTACCGTCAGTATGGTTGCACAAGTAGCATTGGGAGCCTCAAGACTCGATCAAGACCACATGTGAACCAGTTTCCCTGATTCTGCGCATCTCAGGAATGCCACGAGACATGGCGGCAATCATTCCCCTGTGAACCCAATCCAAGAAGTTGGACAGCTGTGGTTTGAACTGACACGCAGCACGTGGGCGGGAGGATCCAGCTTTTGGAGAAGCATCCTTGTACAAGACTTGCCTTGCTTGGAACGACGGCATCGCGGCATCACATGTTTACCGTGCCAAACTGTGCAATGGGAAGACTGCCAGCACCTCTAAACCGATGCTGCGATCGTCTCCGATCGTCCGGTGCTTCGAAGCAGTTTTCCACAGCTTCTCCAGTCCGATTCGAGTGCCCCGATAGTGGACTGGTCACCGCCGGGGTCTTTGGTCGACCGTCTGGCCGTAGACGGCCGGCCCGTTCGGCCGATTCGACGTGAACATCCGTTCCGCGACCGGGACGAACGTTCGTCGCGGTCCGTGCTTTCGACGACGAGATGCCCTTCCTTTCTGTCCTGAGAAACGGCTTCTCTTCAGGAATGCGGTGATGGAGGCCTATCAAAACGGCATCTCTTGGGCACGCTGCTTCCGCTCCATATACTCAGTTTCTGCTAATCTGCAACTCGCTTCAATTGTTTGTGGAGAAACCGGGGAAGCCAGGACATGTCAAGGATTGGCCTTGCCAAACATGTAAACACACTCCAAATGGTCTCAGGAATGTTTCTCGCATGGACGATTGGTGAGGGGACTCCAAAACTGGTAATTTATATAATGTAAATAAGGGGTTCCGGCATTATGTTCAAATGCAGAAGCTCCGGAAAAACAAGGAAAACCGCTCATTTTCATGTTGTGGCTGTTATGGTAGCTGGAGTTCGACTCCAGTTCCCAGTTCGACTCCCACGGTCCAGCTGCCATGCAGAAGTGACCGCCCGAGGACGGAAGAAGAGGATATCTACGACGCGCGTGGCGCCTTCCACTGCACACCACGGTGTGAGCGTTATAGTTCTAGCTCTGTGCACGATGATGCATGAGTCCGGAGGCCATTGTTCGCCTAGGTCAGATGGTCCTGCATGGTCTAGGTTGGTCGAAGGAAGGTCCTGGGAACGCTGAGGATACGCTGTGCGCAGAGACTGGGTAAATGGCCCGAACAGCGTGTTTCGCTTCATTCTCGGCCACTTGGCCGCTCTAACTCTCCTATGCTACCATGGACAGTTCCTGACCGTGCCTGCCATTGAATGGAGGTCCTCCATTCACTCGTTCTGTTTGGAGACATGACAGTTATGCGACATCAGGCTTCATCCATTTGCAATCTTTTAAATTGGTGAGGAAGTTTTTTCAATGGCAGCTTTGCCGGCAGCTACGATGCCTTCTACTTCATGGCGCCTTGGGCTTTTTACATATTCCCCGCCTTAGGAAATTGATCCAAGAACCTCCTGAGTTATGGGATTCTTCAATGGGATTCATGTTCCAAAGTAGAACACATTTTGAGGGGCTTCAATGATAAGAGACGTGCAAAATCACTCAGCAACAGTTGTTTATATACATATATGAGATACACACACACACATATATATATATAGATATTATATATAACATACAAGATTAGTTTGCTCACCGGATTCATTACACAGGGGGTGGGGGAAGCAGAGCATGGAGAAAAAGACACCGGATAGAGAACTTGACTACCTGTTGTTTACCTTTGTGATTTTTGTGTTCGTGTTGATTGAATCTCAACTTGTTGCACGTAATTTTGTGCTAGCTCAACGAAAATGAACGAATCCTGTGAGTTTCAATTCGAAGGAGAAGTTGCATGGAGATAGGTCATATACTGTATATTGTATGACCCTACAAGAAGGAAATGGAAACATACACCATTTCTCAAATTCTGCAGATTGATTATATGTCAAGGCAGTCCCTCCTGATTATGTAACTCAATTTCTGACTGACTATTATTGGTTTCGTTAACGCTCAAACCCCTCTGATTAAACTAGGCTTGAATTCCTGAACTCAGAGAGCAGGGTAGGGATCAATAGTTGATTCACACCCGATTCAACAAGTTAGTTAATCCGGGGTAGGGGGTAGATGACCACCCCCTAAGGCAAGATCTCTTTTCAGCTCAGCCATGTGGATGGGCTTTGGGAGTCCGGCTTGGGAGT